ACACACACACACACACGTGTCACAGGATGGGGACCCCGTGAGGACAGGGGCATCGGGACCACACACACACACACACACACACACACACGTGTCACAGGACGGGGACCCCATGAGGACAGGGGCATCAGGACCTCACACACACACACACACACACACACACACACACACGTGTCACAGGACGGGGACCCCATGAGGACAGGGGCATCAGGAGCACACACACACACACACACACACACGTGTCACAGGACGGGGACCCCGTGAGGACAGGGGTATCGGGACCACACACACACACACACACACACACACACGTGTCACAGGATGGGGACCTCGTGAGGACAGGGCATCATGAGCGCACACACACACACACACACACACACACACGTGTCACAGGACGGGGACCTCGTGAGGACAGGGGCATCGGGACCACACACACACACACACACACACACGTGTCACAGGACGGGGACCTCGTGAGGACAGGGGCATCGGGACCACACACACACACACACACACGTGTCACAGGACGGGGACCCCATGAGGACAGGGGCATCAGGAGCACACACACGTGTCGCATCCCCCAGTGCCCTTCTTGTTATCTATTGTGGACACCGGGGCCAGTGTGCAGGTGTGCCAGGAAGACAGGGGCCATACACCTCACAGTGCACAGTCCAATCGCCACATCAGGAAAGAAACATTTAAACAAGGAAACTTACAGATGCTGCTCTTCTGCAGTTCACGTTTCGGTCAAAAACTGTAACAATGAGTAGGGCACTATAAAAGAGAGAAAAATTATCAAATAAAAGGAACTCTCCAAAGCAACAGACTTCATGACAGTGCTCACGCATGACCTGCTTGGCTCCCACCATCTTAAGCACCAAGAGGCTCAAGACTCCCAAAGGCTGTGGCAGACTAGTGTGACCTCCAAGCTATCAGGCAGCACAGGGCCTGAGGTGGCTGGCTCCAAGGAAGGGCTATGACGGAACAGACACAGCTCAGAGCCTTGGGCACAATGCTCTTCACCTGCTACAGGGTGAGAGACACCAAGGAAATATGTAGACATCACCTAGAACCAGTGTTTCAAGCCTGTCATCCTAGCTACTCAGAGGAGACTGAGATCTGAGGATCGTGGTTCAAAACCAGCCCTGGCAAGAAAGTCTGTGAGACTCTTATCTCCAATAAAACCACTAGAAAACCAGAAGTGGCGCTGTGGCTCAAGTGGTAGAGCACTCACCTTGAGCTGAAGAGCGCAGGGACAGTGCCCAAGCCCAGAGTTCAAGCCCCACGACTGACAAAAGAAAGAAAGTGGGAGGGAGGGAGGGAGGGAGGAAGGGAAGGGAAGGAAAGGAAGAGAAGGAAGGAAGGAAGGAAGGAAGGAAGGAAGGAAGGAAGGAAGGAGGGAGGGAGGGAGAGAGGAAGGGAGGGAAGGAAGGAAAGAGAAGGAATGGAGGGAGGGAGAGAGAAAGAAAGAAAAAGAGAGAGAGAGAAAGAAAGAGAAAGGAAGGAAGAAAGAGAGAGAGAGGGAAGGGAGGGAGGGAGGAAAGGAGGGGAGGGAGGGAGG